TTTTTAAAATGGATATTGTATCCAGGCTGATACCAAATAATACCAAAAGACATAAAAAACCACTACTAAATTTACTGAGCACTTACTACATGGCAGGAGGTCATCTAAGAGCTTACATGTCTTAACTCATTTATCCTTGGAACAACCCTTTCAGGTAGGTACTATTTTACAGATGCGGGAACAGATTTAGAAAGGTTAAGTAATTCATTCAAGAAAGTGGCAGAACCATGATTCAGAATCCTACCTTTCTCTTAACTACTGCACAATAACAATGTAAATAATTACATTATGTATCTATCTAACCATTCATTTATCAGGGTATCTGTCCACTGTAAGTTAACTCCAAAGGAGCCCTGATGCTTGTTAAACAGATGGTTGTTTAACAGTGTAAAGTGCTTGGCTAATAACCAACAGGCCATTAGTTCAAACCAATAGCTGCTCAACAGGACAAAGATGTGGCAGTCTATTTCCAAAAAGATTTATAGCGTTAGAAACCCTAAACCCTATGAGGCAGTTTACCCTATCCTATGTGGTCACTATGGGAAGGAATCCCAAGAACCCTGATGGCACAGTGGTTAAGCACTCAACTGCTAGCTGAAAGGTCAGTGGTTCGAACTCACCAGCTGCTCCAGATGTGGCAGTCTGCTTCCATAAAGATTTACAGTCTTGGGAACCGTATGGGGCAGTTCCACAGGACCTATAGGACCTCTATGAGTTAGAATCCCCTAAACAACAGTGGGTTTAGTTTAAAGCAACCCCAGAGGCAGGACATTGGAAAGAACATGTAACCTGGAATCAGAGAACCTTCCAGCTGTGTAACAAATTAACTCCTCTCTCTGAGTTTGCTTCTTTATCTGTAAAATGGGACTCTACCTTCATAAATGATTAAATGCTATAACACAGGGAAAGGAATTGGAAAGCTGCAGAAACTCAGGAATCTTATGCTGAACTTGCATCCTTAATTCTGAGCAAAGTCAACCACAGACTCATTCTTGAATAGCCTTTTTTTTTTTTTTTAAATAGTAAACAAAAAAGACATCAATTTTAAAATATGTTTTTTAAAAGTAACTTTTGGATGGAAAAATAAAAGGTATCCATACTATTTACCTAATAGGAAAATACATTTAAGATACTGTTTGCCACATAAAATCATTACTTTCCATGAATACATTTTATCTTTATATAAAGGCCAAGAATCAGAAAAAAAAAAATAATAAAAATTAAAAAAAAAAAATACAAACTCACTGCCGTCGAATCAGATCTGAGCTATAGCAACTCCTCTTTGGGTTTCCGAGACAGCAACTCTACAGTAGATTGTCTAGCCTTCCTTCTGAGGAGTGGCTGGCTGGTGGTTCAAATCCCTTAGGCACTATGCTACTAGAGCTTCCAAGAATCAGTAAGACAACTTTAATTTCTAAGAAAAATACTTATATCAAATATGCTGATAATTTTCTCAGTTAAGTAGCCAGCTCTTAAATATAGTTTATGTAAGAGAACTGTAGTACTGGAAGACATTGTTTGGAGGTTATTAGAACAGAGATTGGAAACACTTGAGTCTACACCAGGGATGGACAATTTCCTAGTGGTCAGGGGAAAGAAAGATCCTCCTGAACTGAAACAATCATTTTACCACCAAAGATACACAAAAAACTCCAGCTGACTGCCAGAGAGCCAAGGTTGATAAAGGTGACCACTTAAATTTTGCTTTTAGGAGGTGAACTGTAGCTGCCACATGGCACACAAATACTAGAATTCCTGTAAAACTACAGTATTTATGAAGGCTCCCTCATTAGGTCAATCAGATAATTCAGCTACTGTTGCCATTTCACAAATTTCAAGTTTTAAGTTGTTGTTAGGTGCCGTTGAGTCGCTTCCGACTCATAGCAACCCCATGCACAGCAGAACGAAATACTGCCTGATCCAGCGCCAGCTCCGTGATCCTTGCTATACTTGAGCCAATTGTTGCAGCCACCGTGTCAATCCATCTTGTCAAAGGCCTTCCCCTCCTTCGTCGACCTCCACCTTACCAAGCATGACAGCCTTATCCAGGGAATGGTCCCCTCTGACAACATGACCAAAGTAGGTGAGACGAAGTCTGGCCATCCTCACTTCCAAGGAGCATCTCAGCTGCACTTCCTCCAGGA